TGTGAAGGAATTTTTCTCGTTTTATAAAAAAAGTATTTCTGAAAAGCACTTTTGAGGGTTGTCAAACATACCTTAAAATGTCCGCTTTAGCGCAATGATGCTGGGATATTCGCGCCCACGCTCATCAAATTAAATGCAGTAGCATTTTCTTGAGAACCCTTCTTCTCTTCCATTTAATGGAAATAGGAGGGACGAATATAATACTGCATTATATTAGCGTTAAAAGTATTCAAATTTAAATATACAATGATAACAAACTTTTAGCTACTATATGCCCGCAGAAAAAAAATCACATCATCCAATTTGAGAGTTCCTGACATGATTGTGCCGTGTTTAATTAGTTTGTTCCTTTTCACGGAGCAAACGAACTCCCGTTTCTTTCTTTTTTTTTTGGCCAACACAAACAAATTCATATTCACACCAATACTCATCAGGTTATTAATTTTATGCCAAACTCTCTACCGATCTTTATAAGCCTATTGAAATCCAGCTTTGTTCCGGATTTATTTAGTGTGGGAAGGGAATAAGAGAGGGAGAGAATAGGTCAAAAATAATGAAATGACAGAGATGGAATATAAAATAAACAGGGTCGTGCTGCCTTAATTGCTAGCTGTCTTTGAATTTGACAGCATTCATGGGTGGGTTCAGCTTCAACTAACAGGCGAGAGAAAATTGTATTTTATAAAACATGATGAGGCAGTATAGTAATTAAATATTAAAACTATGCATGCCTGCAATTTAATGATGTTAATCCATGATTAATTAGTGTTTCGGGACATAGATATATCCATCCCCTAATCAATTACTCTTACATCTTCCATCATGAAACGCATTCTCACAGCGTTTCAAAATTCTCAATTATTATTTATTATCATGCCCAGTTATCTCTTCCCTCAAACAGTATTAGTAATTATGGTAACAGTAATTGTGAAACGCCAAATTCTCACCGCCATCTGGCATGCTATCTATATATGCTGCCTCCTCGCTAACCTTTTCCCCTAAATTTATCAATTTTATAATTTTAAATAATTATGAACACACACACACACGTCATACTCTTCTTCTTTTGAGAAATGCCAATTAAATTTTAATTTAAATTATCTGTAAATAGTAACGGTGAATGCCAAGGTCTTTACATTTTTAGTTATCTGTCTATTAAGATCATTATTATGTGAATACTAGAATATATGCATTTATCATGTAATGTTAAAATTAACCGTAGATGGTGTGCGTGTTAAATCTGATCATATTTTTTAAAAAAAAATACGTAAGTTCTCTTTTGGGCGTATTTTTTACTTATTTAAAACTCGAAGGCGGCTTACAAGCTATTCAGGACTCAATACAGGTTTTTGCAATTTTCTCTGTTGATTATTCCGAGCAAAAACACGCAACGCATCTAATTAGACTCGAATCTGCGGGGACCAGTCAAGCGTGTTAATTAGCTCATCCATAACATGCAAAGACAATGAAGAGGCTATTATTACTTTATTGGTAGCGTTTGGGAGCAGTACTATTATATGGATCACTTGGGATGAGTAAACTACGTACTGCAAAAGTTAATGTGATCTATAAACAAAGACCATAAAGATCTTCAAGTATCGGTCATGGCCCAAGCATGGAATGGGGTTAAGGTCCCCACTCCAATCACAAAGTCTTGAGGCAACAAATAATTGATTAAATACTCGTCCCGTTATTAATATAAGGCTTATTTTATAATGTAAATCATATTATATAAGATGGATTTTATATTTAGGATCAGAAAAGTATATAATTTCAATTGCCTGGGCTAATCTCAATTATTTTGAATTTCAGGTCCTGGGGCTGTACCTTTTCAATCAGCTTTTCCAGATCGAGTATGATGCACTTATTGGAGATCTAGGGCAACTTGTGGATTCTTTTTTAATTAGATATTCATGCATCTGAATCCTTTAATTTTTTCCGACTCAAAAAGGGCCACATATATAACAATTAATTAATTAACTCTTAAGTGAGATGGACCTCAACTAATTGCCGTCACACAACCCTTTTCTCCGCCGGTACGTTCTTTCCTTTATTCTATCAATCAGCAGGAGGCACAAAAAATGGCACAAAGGAGCATTTAGTTTAGTAAATACTCTTCCGATCCTTATTATAAGACCCTATTTGACTTTTTATTTGGTCCTAATTATAAGACCCCAATCCATTTTGTCTCTTATATTTATACATTTTTTTTCAAGATAATCATTCTAATAATGATAGTTTTAGCCAATATACTTAATTAATAAGGATATTTTAGGAATGACAACACTTATTTATTATAAATAACCAACTTAACTTACTTCTTTAATCTCCTCAAATAAGTCAATTGGGTCTTATAATTAGGACCGGAGGAGTACTAAATATATAATGACCAAGTTATCATCTGTGACTAATTCACGTGATAAAGGTTCCTTTTGTGATTAAAAAATTTATAATAATTTAGAATTCTTAACTTTAGATGTTAACAAGCACTATGTTGGTCTTTTTTTTATATACTACCTCTGATTCTAAATATAAGAGTCACTTCACTAATTTTAGTAGATTAAGTAAATAAGTTAAGTTAGTTATTTGTTATAAATAAGTGTTGTATTTTTTAAAATATCCTTATTAATCAATTGTAATGGCTAAAACTACTATGATTTGAAGGATTACATTAAAAAAATAAATAAATATGAGAGACAGAATGGATTGAAATCTTATATTTAGGATCTAACTAAAAATTAAATGATGTCTTATATTAAGAACATAAAGTAATATATATTTTAAAGATGCGAAAATTAAGGTGCTTATCATTGAACTTGGTGAGCGTTGGAATCTCAGGTGCAAGATGCGTATCAGCATGCTAGATTATGTTCACCGTTCTTGACCACTTGCAACCAGTTATTCGGAATTACATCACTGTTTCAATGAATGAGCCATGCCACAATCCCTGAAAATATTTAGCTTAGACCAATCGTAGAATTGCCACAGAACAGAGGCTGGCTGGCTTTGTTCACGGAGACAGATAGAGAGGACAGAAAGCCACCAGAGGCGCAATTTAGTTTTGGGCAGAGTTTTGAATGAATGTCTCCCCATGAGAAAGACACAGATTTGAATCATCACAATGCACAGATCTTGCAAGTTAAAAAAAAAAAAAATCGAGTGGCCAGTTGGGGATTTTACTTGGGGAATGAGGAACACCCAGATGTAGAAAATATATAAAATTCGTGTCGTTCTGTCACTCTCTGTATTTGTCCTATTCGCTTTCCCCTGAAATAAACTACTAGTATATGGCAATTTTCTCGCAATGAATGAAGCGTTGTTCTTTCTTCGTGGCCAAGGATTCCTGCAACGGGCCAAGCAACACCTTTCAGCGAGCAATAGAAACCCTCAGGTTTTGGGGAATTCACAGGTAAGATCAGAGGCTCGTCGTTTTGCAGAATGAAATTACTTGTGTGTCTCAAATTTTCTTGTGTGAATTGCGCGGGGTTTGGCATTAATTGCATTCCATGTGTTTGTGGTTTTGCTTCAATGGGACCGTCTTGTTGATGTTTGAAATGGTAATGACTCATGATGGAGAAAGCAAATACCTGGTGTAAGATGACACACAAATTTTGTCTGTATTAGAACATGACAATAAGGAAGGAAAACTGAAAACCCTCTACAATTATGAGTGAGTGTATGTTCCCAACATGAACTTAAACAAACTACAGATGAACCATTTGCAGGGCCGAGAAGGGAGTCTGAATCTACCTGGAAATAGAGGTGGGGTTCGTGTCTGATTCATACAACAAGACATAATCCTAACTTAAAAACAATAAACCAATATGAACAGGACAGGGGATACAGCTATATGAACAGAATTAAATAAGATAGCCAAAGAATCAGATAAGTAAACAAATAGAGAGAGGGTGTGTGCGCGGAGGTGATTGAAACACGAGTGCTGAGGAAGGAGTTAGCCAATTCTGCAATGGGACAAATCTTATCCCATCTCCCTGGCTGCTCATTGGAAAGGGAAGAGAGCATCTGTGGGGTGTTCGGATATTTTAACTCGCCTATCCCCATTAATTGAACTAGGAATGGGCCTACCCCCAGTATTAGTATTGCTGCCATGCACGTGACTTTGAAACTATATATTCTCTCATCCCTCAAGATAATATAAATACAACTTGGAGGGACCTGAATTGCGTCTATATATGTCATGCTCATATATACAATGCCAAGCATGGACCACTCTCTCCTCTGCTTCTCCCTAGCTACGTGCCCACTGTTTGAGTTTTCTCTTAAAATATTACTCAACCGCCTCTCCCCACGGCACCCTGTAATTACACACCACTTTAAATATTCAACTCTCTACCCGCGTAAAAGACTGGCTCTGCGCTGCTGGGCAATGGGCATTGAGGTAATTGAATTGAGAATTTTGGTGAGGAAAGGGTGAATTGAGAGTGAGAAAATGGGAATGAACTTGGGAAGCAAAGCGGCAGAGGGTTAGGCCGGCTGTGGGGATAGAAACGAAAGGGGGGGGTATAAGGTGATTACTGAGTCGGAGGAGGGAGGAGGGCCCCACCACTTGATTTGTTTGCGAATTTTGCAACATGGGATGTCCCTAATTACACCAAATAATTCACCTCTTTTTCTTTCCCTCCGCATCCCCTAACATACATGTTCGGCCCAATTCAGTATTCATTCAACCTTTTTCTACTGTTATCTACTTGCGCCTCCTGCCAGTGAAAAATCAAAAAGGAAACAAATAAAAATAATAACAGAATCCATCAATCCATCCGCACCCTTTTGCGGACCCATCCATCCATCCATCTATATTATATATATATACACACACACACACACACACACACACCTACAGATATTTGACGGTAAACAACGCGCGTACGGAATACTATTAATCTATTATACTAGTGCCAAATTTAAACAGAAATTATATTTCATAAAAGAATTCAGGAAAAAAAAAAAAAGTATCACTGTAACCTTTAAAGGCCTCTCGTACTTACATATTCTCACTCCCCCTCCCCTCCTCTCATTGTCATATCTGAGGTGGCTCCATCGAATTGTTCTCACAGTTTTGCTTTTGCACATCAAACCCATAATCATAACACTTGTTTCTCTCTGTCTTGCTCCGATCCCCTCTTCCCTCTTCCCCACAGTTTCTGTGTTAGCGTGCCTCCTCAAATCCTCAATTTCTCTGCCACCATCTTCCACTGAAGCATCAAATAAGAATGTCCATAAATCACCACTCATCGGACATTCCAGAGGCCACGCTGTGGTGGACCGAACAACATCGCCATCATCATCAAGGCTTTCTTATGCAGCCCTTACAAAACCCCTCTCCTTCGGCCTGGCCTTCCTATCTCTACCATCCTCCACCTCCCACCCGCTTCAACCTCAATAACAACGATGACGACGACGACGAAGACGACGATGAAGACAGTATTCAACACCAGCGGACTGGTCTCGTGGGAAACGATACGCCCACGTCCCAAGGAGGCTCAGGAGGCGAAGACGAGAAGGAAGGGATGTTCGAGAAGCCATTGACGCCGAGTGACGTGGGGAAGCTGAACCGGCTGGTGATTCCGAAGCAGCACGCGGAGAAGTACTTCCCGTTGGGGGCGGGAGGGGAGGCGGCCGGAGAGAGCAGGGGTGTGTCGCTGAGTTTCGAGGACGAGGCAGGAAAGTGCTGGAGGTTCCGTTACTCGTACTGGAACAGCAGTCAGAGCTACGTGCTGACCAAAGGCTGGAGTCGTTACGTCAAGGACAAGCGTCTCGATGCTGGCGATGTCGTTTACTTCCAGCGCCACCGCACCGACTCCAACCGCCTCTTCATCAACTGGAGGCGCCGCCACCAGTCTGGGTCCACCCCCGCGCATGTTAGCAGAGCGGTGCTCGTTCACAATACACCTACCACCACCACTACTGACGCCAACGGCAATATCAATATCAATAATAACAATGTTGGCGTGGGTTGGACCAGAAGTTTCTATGCTCCACATCCTTATCCTCCGCATCATCATCAAACCTTGCCATACCAACCTGACTGTCTTCATGCAGGTCTCCCTCTCTCTCTCTCTCTCTAACCTCATCGCTTTCTCTATCAACCCTATCTTTTTCTTTTTCTCCCAGTGCGGAATATGCCCTCTGTTTGTCTTCTTTCTCGAGGTGAAAATCGATAAGAGTAAATGCTGTCGCCTAAATTAAAAGGACATGTAGATTGTAGATAAAATAATTTGAGCCTCATGGAAGTACGCGAGTGTGACCGGCATCTTCCTGTGAACTGGGAGAAATGTGGTCTGGGTTTTATGTTTATACGATCAGATCGCCCAGCAATCTGGTCTTGTGCATCGTACGCTGCATCGGGAAGCAAACACGCTCCAAATTCGTTTTGAATGAACCAAGTAATGAGGGGAAAAAAAAGAAAAGGAATCACCTCCGATTCACAAAAACAAAGCATTGACATGTAGATTGACTATATACTTTTTGTTATGAAAGAATGAGGCGAAGGATATATGTATATATTGTAAAACCCTCTGACGCACGTGGTGTAATGTTACAGGCGTAGGTTTGGAAGAAGCAGAGCAGAACAAAACGACATCACCGGCGGGAAACAACTCCAGCTCGAGGATACTGAGGCTGTTCGGTGTGAACATGGAATGTCAACCAGACGAATCCGGATCCTCCGGACCCGAATACTCGTACTTGTCATCGACGTCATCGCAGGGTCCAGCCATCCCACACCACCACTTCCATGGCCGTTACAATCATCATCAATCTGCTTCTTATTATTCCAATCACATGGTACGTCAACAACCACACTCCTAGCTAGACATGCCCTGCCGTGGCCGTGGCCGTGGCCACCTCTTGCATTAAGGACTCCCTTCTTGTTGTTTTCTTCAGAACTCAGATGTAAAGAAGGCACTTATCATATTTAATTATAATGAGAGTTGTTTTGCTGATATCGATTATTCTTATTAATCAAACAAATTATTTTATAATATTACATATATATAATATTATATCTGTTTCTTGTCTTAATTTAAGGAACTAGTTTATTCGTTTTGTGGGATTTCGTTGTTCCCTTTGGATGGGGCATATCAATTATCAACTAGACCATGAATGCCACAGGAACATGTTCCCAATGCAGTTCTGGCCCTTGGTATCAAGGGAGGAAAGGGAATATAATAATAATATAAGAATAAAATAAATTGAAACTGAGACTTCATGAGGATCCTCCATTTTTTTGTATTGGAACTATATATTAGCATCTACCTCCACTTATTCATTCATGCCATGTGTGCTATAGTCACCCTTCACCACATGTGGTCTTCCTTTCTTTGATTCCACTACTCGTTGAAAAATTGGCAAAACTCTCTCGCACCCATACAAATTTCGTTTCGTCTTTTAACCATATATGATCAGGAAACACTGTTTGTTTCTTTTTACCTTCACTTTATTACCTTCATTCTTTTATCACTTTTCTCTCTTTCTCTCCCTCTCTATTGTAATTATTACTGATTTTTTCTATTCCTTCTCACCTTCTTTATCTCTCGGTTATATTGACCACATCATCGTTTTGATCGTTATTATTAGATAGGAAGCTGTTTCCTTGTGAGCTGACTGTAGTTTTATTTGCTTTTGGACAGTTTTATATTTAGCCTGGGAATTTGTGTAATCTACCCATCTCAGTTTTTTCCCCCTTTACCTACTCTGAACATTTTGTCCACTGAGCCAAATAATAGACACGTCACTGGCTTTACAGGGATGACAAGATTGAACTGTATAGAACTCTCTGTTTGTGGGCCTTAGCTTAACGCTCTTGTGAACATCATCATCACCCTTATATAATTAGTTCCTTTGAATTCGGTCAATAATAACCTGAACCAAAAACGCAAGCAGTAATAAAACGTACGAGTCAACGAAGTTTGGCTTCTTTCCATTAAGGTGTCAGTGCCACTTCAGATCATTCTGGAGCAGCTCCGATGGAATTGAAACATCCCTGACAATGACATGTTTCGTCATGGATGAATGAACCAATGGGAAAAAATCCATCACACTGTGTTCTTCTGATTCACAATTGTATGGGTAGTTCCGACCTCTGCTGAATACGTGTAGGAATGCGTGGAGCATCAGAGGTTCACTTTTCAGGATACCCTCTTCTTCAAACCTTTGCATGATGATCACAGTACTGATTTCATGGAAGAAGAGTTACGAATTTCTGCACCTGTTAAGAGTTTTTAACTCATGAGCCAGCTGAAGGAATCATAATTTACGGATACTTTGTTTGTCTGTTGATTTAAAACTCAAAAAAAAAGGTGGGTGACTTGGTGGGTAATTAATTGAATGCTTGGAGATGCAGAGCCTGTATAATTACAGCAGGATGTCAACCAGATAAGCAATCGCCGAGGATAAAGATCTGTGGATGTGACATCCGGAATTGACCGATTTAACCTATTTGTCGGCTTCCTTCCTCAAACTCCGCGAATGAGAGAGAGAGAGAGAGAGTAAAATGATTATAAAAAAGAAAGAAGTAAAACCATCCCTGATTTTCATACCAACTTTGAAGCCCAAGTGGCAGGAGTGATGAACAAGTAATGCTTAGTAAGAAAGGAACCCGACGAAGAAGGAGGATGGAATGTAGGAGTGAGAGAAGTGGGACCCGTGGAGGGAGCCAGCTGACATAAGCAAGGGGCGAAGGGAGAATTTAGGTCCTTGAAGATGAGAAAGGAGGAATCTGAATGAACTACTGTTGAGATTCTGCCTGGAGATTTTTCTAAAGGGCTCATCATAGTATATGTGGAGGGGTATGGTGCAGAGTCATGGTGTGTGTTCTAAAGCCAAATGGCGTGGTTGAGTGGGTGGGGGTGGGTGGCTGGACGTGTTACGGTTTTCTGTGCCGCTACAGCAATTTCAATGGGTAAAATCCATGCTCACACAAAGCCTCCTCAACAATATTGCATTCCCCCCCGGCGGGCTGAATGAGCATAAAATTTGAGGTGAATATGATCAATATTTAATTAAAAGATTTTTGCTTTAGAGGCTTTGTAGTGTGATACAAAACCTCTGTATGCAGGAGGTTATAGCTAGTTTGGTCTGGTTTGTAATCTCGGATTCTTAATATCTATTTTTGAACTTATAAGAAATACTCCTCCGATTCTTAATATATGACATAATTATTGAATTGATTTTAGTTTTACATATAAGACCTATTTTTCATATTTAATATTTTTTTTAATTACCCATATGAATACTCCCTTAATTATAATTAAGTAGAAGAGAGGGAAGAGATATTAAAGAAAATGATTATAGTGTTTTAGAAAAAATATGTCATGTTTTAAAATTAAGTAACTTACATAGCTTCTTTAATCTAATCAAATTAATTAAATAGATCTTATATTAATGATTAGAAGAGTATAAAAAACGAAAAAGTTCTTTGCTTTGAAATAAGGCTTTATATATATTATTCATATTTTTTTTTGTTGGTATCAGCAGTATGAACACGAAACAAAGCTAATTATTTTCTGGTCCCTGAATTCACATGTGATGATGGTGATGGTAATGACAAGGAAGTTGGTTATCTGTTTATCTTTATTTGTCATCAGCAATTTAACATGTGGATGAAAATTAAGCAGATGGGAACCCCCAAGAAGAAACTCAACACAAGCACGTCAACACAAAGCCTTTGGTCCCCACTAAAGGAGTGAATGAGCAATATATGTGTCCTCCGTAGACTTTTTGCAAGATTTTATGCATCTGCACGCTATAAACAAACAAGGCCACTAAACAATTGGAGGGAGAAGGAGGGAGGGGGCGGATTTCTATACAGACTGTGACATTATTACCGGCCAGATGAAATGTTTAATCACAAATGGGAAAGAAGAGAAAGGAGATCAAAAGCTACATAGAAAAAAGACGAGCTTAAAGCAAGTGGAAAATAGTGACACAGTATAAGGTTGTCACTTGCCACGTTGAATTGTCTTGTCCACAAATCCTTGGATCCACGGCTTCTCGTCAGTCCTCACGAACTCCATAGTGTCCTATAATAATATTAGCAAAGTCATGCAAAGGCCGAAACTGTCAGAAGCAAACTCAGGCGACGATCGCTTCGGCTTCTGGACCCCTTTTGTGAGTCATTTCAACTTTTCATTTCATATCTCAAGCGAACCATTAAACTTCGGGTGGAAGCGACCCAGACGCGGTATGAAAAATTCCCAGCTTCGCGTGCGACCACACCAAGGTTTTATTTATCAGGGGAAGATGGACATAAAGCATAAAAGCAAGAGTGTGCTGTGAGTTCAACCCTTATGGTGAGTACGACCAAGTGCTTGTGGAAACGACAGCAAGGGGTTGCGGAAACAGAACGTGACTCGTCAATGAAGTAGCTTTTGATGATCAATGATTCATCGCACTAAAATTGTAAATACGCACCAGTACAAGTACTTATCCGCTCTCCTCCACAGAGGAAAAAATGATTAAAGAACACTGTGATCCAGCTTCTGACGACTCAGTAGTACGCAGTTGAGCAGCCTAGGCTGATACGATCACAAGCTAGCGTTCAAAGTGTGGCTGGATTCAAAGCTGCCTGATGGACTCAATTTTCAAACAAGTTAGGCGCTAGAGTCGAACAAAATTTTCATAATGGCAGAAATTTTTTTTTTTAAAAAAACAAGGTTTTGATAATAAGGGGGCCCATAAGGATTTACGCGAAAGGCCCACCGGGGTCGCCTTTATCAGGCGTTCAATGTTCCGGGGGGGCTCGCTCTCCAAGTGGTGAGCGGGTCGACAATTACGTGGTGTTTATTGTTGAACAATGAAAAAAGATAACAGTACCAACAAGAGTTTGTTATAAGAAATCGACTCGTAATCCATAAGACCGTGAATTCAAATATCACTGCTAATGTGATGACCTTATTGGCATGTCCTGACTTTGATAAGCTTTCGGAATCCAATTCACCTAAACTTTTCTGTAGTTAAAAAAAAGATAACGGCTAATCAAAGATTTAAAATTTTAAAAAAACTGATACATGTATATTAATATATTATTATGGTGTTAAATGTAAACCCATTTTATAGTATAAATTAGATTACAAGATTAGTCTTACATTTTAAGTTGGAGAAAATAATGGATCGGAGCTGCAGGGGTAATGCAATTATGTATGAGTGGAACACACTGCTGACATGAAAAGGGAAGAATAATAGGGAAAAACCATGTGACTACACAAACCATCAGCGAGTCCGGCCCTCCCTCTCCTTTACAATCCACGTAAGAAGTGTCAAGTTGTGAATTCCATGTGTTTTTTTCCCCACCATTCCCCTTCCAATCACAGAAAGCAAACGAATCCAAGTTACATAAGAACTAGATTGATTACTCATAATGTAGCTATTATCTGCATATTTTCATATGGGGATTTTTGCCACAAGTCCGAAAGGGACAAGATTCAGCATGCCCAATTAACTCTCATCCCATAAGAGCATCAGATATGTGCTGTCAACAAAGTTTCACTTCTTCCATGACATGGTAGTGATAATCCAAACTGATGCTTGGGAAAGAATGGGAACAAACCCGTGGGTTATCAATGACACATAAACACGTCGAGAATTTAGGCGCTTTCCTAAACTTGTAAGATTCTATACCCCAACAATTTAAACCAGTAATGTAAGTGCGAGCTTTATTATATGGACTGGGCCAATTCAGCAGTCTCATCAACCAAAAGTTGAAGCGTCAAATGGTTTGTTGGGGCCTTAATCTCTGTCTGGTCTTTCATCTGGTGCGAATCATTTTCAGTCATTTCAGGCTCCACGATGAAATCAAACAACTGTTCAACCTACCTTCTCATCACTGAATTTGTCTGCCACATACATGTTTTCACAGGAAAAGATGGCATCCCATTATAGACGATGCTGTCTCGCAAATTAGGTCACCTATAGCCAAACAAACTGGCCACATGCAATACCATACTACATTGGATTGAAACAATAGTCCCCTGTCTAGAAAGCGTCAGATGAAAGTTTGCGAGTCACATTTCATCTTTAAGAAGGTCCTTTCAAATCGGGCACGGGCAAGGAAAAAAACGTGCAGTGCCAACAGTTGAAAGAACGAATTCGTGTCGGCAATTATCTTCTATCCATCGTGCCGAGATAGGGTGGGAAGAGGCCTCCGGTTACAGAACCAAGTTGGCTTCTGCTGATACACAGAACTGACCACCGATGTTACCAAGCTTTTGAACGGCTCGGAATAGTCCCGTTTACAAGAACCTTCGTCTTGGTTTACTTTTCTCAAACAATTAAATTAATGGCATGCATGGTGCGTGAAGAAATAATTTGAAGAAAGGTGAAAAGGTATAGAAAAATATTGTATGATTGATTGATCGCAAAATGTTATAACATGCTAGTGTTATATCTACGGCAGTAAACTTTTCTCATTCTCAATTCTTTTTCCCGTTTCTGTTTTACTCCGCGCCAGCTAAGAATTGTTCCTTGTATAGTTTTGCAGTGTTGTGAAACTATTACAGGGCCCATATGGTCAGCCACTATCCAAACAGCATTCACAATAGATAATATAAAACACCAGAGAATCCAGTCGATATACTTGCGCGCGCGCGCGCGCGTGTAAAAAAGGGTCTATTCAGCGTAATGTACAATAAAACCCTTGAACTCAAGGGGGTTGCCCCTAATTTCTGCAAAGTTGAGTACCTCAGACTAAATATGTGCCGGAGAAGAACTAACACCTAGCCACCTATAAAAAAGTTCAAGCTGATTTTTTGGTTACTTTGGCATCTTCAGGTTTAGAATCTTCTTTGTTCTCCATCACTTGCTGAATAGCATCTTCAGGTTTAGCACCTTCCTTCTTCTCCATTACTCGTTGAACTCCCTCTTGGTACCCTTCTATAAAATTTTTGAGAGCATCTCTATACGCAGAAGCTCTGGTCATGTATATGCGCTGTAACGCAGGTCTAAGAGTCTCCATTCCTCCTCTGGCAGCCACAGCTATTTATTTACCATTGAAAAAATGATGAAAACAATTCATAGGAGAGCTAAAATAATGATATAGAAAAACAAGCAAAAAGGGAATTCTTAAACTAAACCAGCCATCGCAACAAATTGAACTCAAATGCATGGAGCAACATGAACAGCAAGAACAGAGAGTTCTATGCAGTTTTAAAAACGATGCTATTTTTTTGTGCCACGACTTCTTCAGGATTAGTTGCCTTCTCATCATTGTCCAAGGGGAAAAAAATCGAAAGAAGGTTCTTTCACCACTTAAAAAACAAAGTATTTTCTCCTCAAAATGCTGAAATGTTGGAAGACAAATAATAAATAACCATTAATTCCTAACTATTACATGAGCCTCCAGGACTGAGGGTAACATACATTGTACATTCACTCTTAATATTCTTGACTTTTTGTGATCAACCGACAACTCAAACAACATGACAATATTGATCTCAATTTAGAGAGAGATTATACCAAGATCCTCCAGGACAGAGGGTTCCGTTTGTTGAGGAGTTTTCTTTCCTTTATTGGCTTCTTCAGTCAATTCGTCTTTCTTATATTCATGTGGCCGAAGATCAGGACCGATGTCCCGAACCCAGCTAGCAGCGTAAAGCCTAACCGCTTTCTTCAATACCTAAGGAGTGAAAATAATAGGTGTATTGCAGCTATGAAACTTGTCGACCATGTATCAAAATGTCAATTAACTAAAATTCAGCATCTTAAAATCGCACTTTATTCACTAAAAACATCGGTAAAAACATAGGAAATCATGTTAACCTCCTTAAAGTCCAACATGATGCTTAGAAATGTGACAAAACAGAGAAAATAAACAAATGCTCAAATAAAGAGTGCGGACACTAGAATGCTCAAGTTGCAATTAGAGCAGGCGAATAACCTGGGAGTGAGAAAAAGCCTAGCCTCACTGATTTTGGGAATCATGAATAGTTCGGAGGAAAATTGAGAACCCAGAATCAATGCCAAAACCAGCGGCGGCAAAACAACGTAGAAGCCAAAAGAAAAAAATTGGAGGGGGGGAATAGATTACCCAAATGCGCTCATCCCAGGTCATCTTGCGACGCTTTTTAACAAGATGAGGAGGATCGGGCAAGGAGGAAGGGAAAGCAATTTCTTTGAGATCATAGCGCATGTAATCGTAAATTTTCCTGCACACTACCCTCACTTTCATTTCGCGGCGCCAAATTGCGACTGTTGAGTTCAATCGCTCCGCCTTGTCTGAGGTTGCCGAATAACCCCACCGTCTGCAACGATCACGGGTTAAGATGTTTGGGTCAAAGGCCCAATATAAGTTGCAAAGGCTCGCATATTGTCCACATTTTACTTTGCCTTTGGGTTGAGTTAGGCTTAGGATCCGTTTGGTATAAGAGAAATGAAAAGAAGGAAAAGAGAAAATTTTTTTAATGAATTCATAATTGAAATTTATTTTTTTTTATGTTATATATTCTTTTCATTAAAATTTTAAAACTTCACTTCTGGAATTTTTCCTCTCCCCCCTTTCCCTTCATTTCACTCATACCAAATGGGTGTTTGGAAGCACTTTTTTATAAATGATTTTATAAATGTTTTTACATAAGTCGAGCTAAAACTCATCTCACATATTTTTTTTTGTATTTCATAAAATCATTTATAAAACTATGATTTGTTTTCCATCCAAATACCCTCTTAAATTAGTTGGGAAGACACACGCTAGTCACCAAAAATAAAAAAGGTTTAGGAATCCTCATGAATGAAGATTTAGAGTACACAAAGATGTCGCAAGAATGACGGGTCCATTGAATATTTGAATTAAGGGGAAAGTTTTACCAACAGGATTTGAGTCTAGCTAGAGAGTTAATCTCCCACAACATAATAAATAGGTCCTTATTATAAGACCCAATTTGACTTTTTATTTGGTCCTAATAAGACCCAATTTATTTTCATATTTATGCATTCCAAGATAATCCTTCATAATGATAGTTTAGCCAATATACTTAATTAGCAAGGATATTTTAAGAATAACAACACTTATTATAAATAACCAACATAACTTAAATCTCCTCAAATAATCAATTGGAAATTAGAACTGGAGGAGTATTAAAATCTGGAATGGAATAGTTGGGGGGGGGGGGGACGTCTTTTAACTGCATAGAATAATGCTTCACATGCGCGCGCTGCCCGACCCCGCCTGTTTCTCTCTCTATGCATAATTAAAAGACAGTCAACTGACCAAACCATATGACCGACAAAACAAGTGAATACATATATATCACTGATGAGAGTGGACAGGGCCTTTGTTGCATAAGGTCTTTACGCTTATTTAACTGCTTCACCCTCCCCGCCACTTAATTTTTTGCTTTGTTCATATTTAGTTGACATAATTTGACCTGTCCTTGTTATATATATACAGGCCAAAACAGGCAATTTCATATTCGTTTCTATTTTCAGTTTTATTGCCGGCCATGACTTCTGCATCCAACAACACGCGGACGAGAAAAGCATGGCTTTGTTAGTACTTTAAGCTATAAGTCGAGCCAAACCAAAATAAATAAGTTCTCAGCTACAAAAAAGAAATGAAAGGCAGGCATCAAGCCAAATTAAAATAGTTTATCAATTCTAGACCCCATATTAATTTCTTCACGGTAGACTATCACTTAAGGTTCCATAATACTCCCTCTCTGTACCTGAAGGCGACACGTGGATTGGCTGAACAGCTACGAATTAAACGTATCCTATAAAAACAGTAGCGTTTTTATAAATAAATAAACAAAGTGATTATTTCTCAATATCATCTATTATCTAAATTTTATTTTTTTAATCAAGCTCATGATATTGAATGTGCCATGAATAAGATGAAAATATTGGGTTTACCCAATAAATAAATAAAATCGGTGATGGCTTAATTATGTTGTGAAGTGAAAATCACACGCGGACATTGAAGCCCTCTTGAATAATAAGCCCAAACCCGCCCAGGTCTGGTACAGGCCATATGACGCCACTTGAGGAGTCTATCTTCCGCTTTTCTTTTCTTTTTTTTTTTGAGTAGAAGGAAATTTTATTAGAAACAATAATTACACCAGAAGTTCAGAAAAGGACACAACAAATAGCACAATAAAAAGAGCTTAAGTGATATTAAGCGTTCCTAATATGCATAGACCAAGCTAAGGCTTCATTCACCAGGTCTATCTCCGCTTTTAATTACCGTTTTGGTAGCTTAGCGGCATTAAAGAACAACAAAACAAAAATCAGCAAGTGTCACGACCCGGCCCCAAACGTGATAAACGCCTGAGGAAAACATATCGCCCGAGAAAACGATTTGACACGGCATCACTCCAGTCTTTCACCGCCTACTCTGAGCAGAGATAATGATTTTAGGGGGTGTTTGGTATATCTCAAAACCACTTTTTAGAAGTATTTTTTCGTAAATCGAGATAAATTTCTTCATATATTTACTTTGTATACTGTAAAAATACTTTTAAAACCATGGTTTTATTTATATCCAAACGCCCTCTTAATGATTTTTAATGTAAAACCAAACACAAATCTGCCATAATGATAAAACTGCTAAATTGTCAGGGTTTGGATCCCTCAACTGCCCACTCTTAATTGAAATTTAATCGGAGGGTATTAATCATGCTGTGATTCAATAGTATTGAGAGGAGGGTTATAATTTATAAAAAAAATGAATAAGACAGTTAAAAACGCGACTGACCAGAACTGAGTGTAAGATAGTTTTCAGGAAAGCTTGATAACTCATAAGACAGCTAGACATGAGATCCAAAAAAAAAAAAACTAACTAAGAAATCTTAATAATAATCTAAACAGTGTACAATTAAAAATTTAGAATAAAAAAATTAAAATTTCAAAACTTGTTTCACATTTTTTTTTTTTACTCCATTGTAGTTCTCTTTATTGATTTTGATACACGTGTAAGACAGTTTCCATCTCAACGTCAAATAAACCATGCGACGATATGGCACAGTCGCGAGTCAATCCGTAAAGTCTATGGATTAATTGCAAGAGCGGTCACATTTTAATTCCTAAGAAATACCCACGCTATGTCTTGTGGCTACAGTCATTAGTCACCCGGAGATCCTAGGATTACTTCTTTGACTGCACCAGGCCAGTAAAAGAATGCAGGAGTCAACGAAGGTGTGAGGGCAAAAAAGTACTATTAAACAACGAAAATGAACGGCGCATTTGAAAAGCAACTTTTCACCCCTCTATCCTCGCCCATGTATAGGCATAGCTACTTCCTTCTTTATATAAAGGTCCAAGCTACGTGACTTTCCCAAAATCTGCCCCATTAGGCCCTGTTTGGCAGGAGGTATTGAATTTTAAGGGATTAGGAGTGGGAGTGGCAATGGGAGTGAACATAGGATTGGGAGTGGGAATGGGTTTTTAAAATTTTGTTTGGTGTGAGGTAATATTTGAAGGGACTGGTTTTACTAAATTTGTTAAATGATATGTTATTAATTGGTAAAAGACTATATTACCCCTATGTAACCCCAAATTTCAAACCCAATATGCGATCTTTTCTAATGAAACCCATGTGCGATCTTTTCTAATAACAAACCAGATGCAATATTGCCCACTTTCGTCTTGACTTTCACAAATCTTGAGTCGTCCAGTTTCAATTGAGGGTGTTATATTTTAGCAGTAACAAGTCACCTTTGATTTGATTGCTTGCTTATTTTTCCACAAATCTCAATATTCGATTTCATCTCTCATTTTGCATTCATTTAGATTTGATTTTTGTTGATGGTGACCTCCTTCTTCTATCTCCAGATATCGCCTCTTTGATCAGGAAAAAAACACTGTTAGTGCACAAAAATGGTGAATTTGCAAATGCCGTCATTGTTGCAAGATCGCTGATGGTGTTGACTGTCTGGAAAGAAGGATATTGAAGACATGAACGAAGGTGAGATGAATGCTGATATTTTTCTGACCGTTTAGTAAGAAGGACCTTGAGAGAGGGAGATGAAAAAATGAGAAGATGAGAGACAAAGGTGAGAGGAGATGGCGCGGTGAAGGTAATTTCAAGTTCAAACAAGGATAATTTTGTCCCAAAATTTTTCAACCCGAAGGTAGGTTCAGGAATATCAGGGGCAGTGGTGGGTTTGGGTAATCCCGCCTACGTGGCATTTCTCAATTCCAAGGTACTTCCTAACCCTCCTACCAAACAGGACGGTTTGGGCCAATCCCTGTGCTAACTCCTCAATCCTATGTAACAAACAAGGCCTAGCCTATCTTCACAATCACTATTAAATATCACTACCTACGGAAAACCTTTCTTGAGCATGGCTCCTTCTCCTTGCGTAACATCCACGATTCCCACTCCCAAAAGCATGGCAGAAACCGCCATAGACGGAGGCGCCGCCGCCACCCTCTTCTCAACCTTACCTCCGGATATAATTCAAACTCACATCCTGTCTCGCCTTGACGGCTCCGCTCTCGCATCGGCTGCCGCCACATGCTCTCAACTCTACGCCCTCTCCTCCCAAGAAGATCTCTGGGTCAGCCTCTGTCACTCCACGTGGCCTTCCACCAGCTCTCCACGCCTCCACCACGTCATCCGGAGTTTCCCCCACGGTTTCCGGTCTTTCTTCTCCGATTCTTCCACTATACCCCGGCCAATCACGACCACTCCTCGAAACTCGCACATCAATCTCGACCGCACTCCGGAACTGATCTCCGCCATCGACCTTTATTACCGCCGAGAACTCTTGCTTTCCAAGGTGGTGGAGACCGAAACAGTCTCCGATTGGTTCAGGTGCTCGCCCTTCCGCGTGGACATACTAGAGCCGAAAGACGTGGTTCAAACAGTAGTGAGATATCCGGAGAATAAGGACAGGTGTCGGGAGCTCGCGGAGGAGCTGACGCTGAGCTGGATAGTGATAGACTCGAGCGGAGGGCGAGCGATGAATGTTTCGAGCCAGAAGCCGGTATCGGTGCAACGGCACTGGCTGAGCGGGGAGGTGGAGGTGAAGTTCGCGTCAGTCATGGGGGGAGAAAAAGGATCGTCGTCGGAGCTAGCGCTGTGTAATGTGTTGATGACGCTCATGGGGGCGGAGGGAAGGGAAATGCAGGTGAGGGAGGGGAGCTTGCAGATGGAGGACATGGATGGGATGAACTTGAAGGGGAGGGACAGTTTGTTGATTTTACAGAGGGCGTTGGAGGGCAAAAGGGAGAGTAAGAATAGAGGTAGGGAGGGATACGGAATGTTTGGTAATCGGAAGAGGGAGAGGAAAGAGAAAATGATGAGGAGAGAGGGGGCTTTGGATATGGTGTGCGTGTGCCTCGCTACGTTGTCGTTTGTGGGTCTTCTTTACAATTTTGTTGTGTGCAGAGTGTAGACATGATAACAGAACAGAGGCTGATGGCATTACGTCAGGCATGTCCAGAATCTGAAGCTTCCCTCCAATTCAACTCATTCATTCCTTTAAACGTACGTATAATTGTGCTCTCCGCTGATTCCATTTCTTTTTTTCTTTTTTTTTCCTTTTCCATTTTAAAACTGGAGCTCGAAATTCCTGCGTCCAAGTCACTCACTGAGCCACTTCTTTTTGCCTGCATTATAAACGCCACTCTGCAGTTATTCACTTACTGTTGCTACCGATTTATATGTGCAGTTAGTCTTTCAAAACTCATTTCAATCATTTTTAACGCAGAACCAGATTCCTAAGTTCGTCCTAAAGCACCCGAATAAGTGCCCAGGCAGGTATCTCAGGCTTGAAACTGGCATCTCATCGTTATAGAGTACAATACATTTGCTGCTCTTCATCTTTTCGAGGGCTAATAAATTCATGTAATGCAAACCGAGGCGGCTCATAACTCTGCCCATATTTGCGCCGCCTCACGGGGCTTCCAAATGCTGACAAATGACAATAGTAGTGGGTGGTACTCTAGGGAAAACCCCTTCCCTCCTCCCCATAAATAAAAATCAAACTCATAACTCCTGGTAGAGTATAATTCCACACACAAACAGCTTTGCATTTCTAATTTTAAGGCGGAGAATGGATCCTTCTACGCATGTTCAAGAAATTGTGTGCTTTAGACAGAAATATGTAGGGTCGTGGGGAGAAAAACAATAGAAATTAGGAAAGGGTTTCATTAGATTGAACCCATTTTAATGTGTTTCGTTAGATCATCTAGATTGGAACCACATTCACATACCTTTAGTTATCTACTATCTTTTGTCACTTTAATGCGGGTAGGCCTCCAGCTGAAAGGGAAATCAAACAGAACACAACACATCTGTCGCGTCACCTGTCATAAGTTTTAATTATTACTTTTAATCCTCCCACAAAGTAGGTGGGAGTTTGAGGTTTTAAATCATTTTCATGCTATCCAATAGTCAAAGCCATGATAAATACATGAGCACAGAATTGCATACTGCATAATCTAAATATCTCTGTTTCAAACGTGTCTCACCCATTTCCAACCTTCACCAATTTTATTTTTCGTTATTTTCAATACCTTTGTTCGTGGGCATTTATTCATAAATCAAAATATGTAGAATAATCTAAATATCTCAATCTCACTACAATATAGGGAAAACATCAGCATAATACACAAGGTACAAAACCTTGATCACCCATGATGGAAAGTGGCGGTTTAAATTATAAATTGATAAAGCAGAAATCAGATACGGAACAGGTCGAATGTTGAATCAACACATTCGAACATACAGTAAGTTTACAAGGACAGGGTGATATCCTTACAGTGACCTTGTCTTCAAAGTTCAAACTACATATTTCCACTTCCATTTCACTAGTCACCGTTACGCTGTTACCGATTTATATGCAGTTGTTCTTTCAAAACTAAATTATCTGTGAGGTTAAAGATTAGAAAGCAAAAGCGGTTAAGTAGGAAGATGAATATTATTTGAGTCTTACGTCCATCTAGGAAGGTGAGTATTTCACGTAGAAACAGCATTACAAGTTGTAGCTATCTAACATTTGGAATGGAAATAAGGTAGCAGTTCATGACTTGGTTCAAGCTTCCCGGCACTTTAAACTTATACTGCAACCATGTGGATTAACATCACAGCAACAGAACAAAATACAAAGATGTACTACAATTATATATAACAGATATTAGGTGACTCGTAATTCATTCTGTCCACTGGATTCGCAATGGCTGCTGAAAGGTGGCCGCAAACTGACGACTGTTGGTTGGCTATTGTTCTTTACTATGAACTGAAAGGGTGTCCGAGTATTCCTGAATAAAATCAACCGATGATGATCTGAGTCTGCTTGAATCATTTTGGGAGAACTTATACTGAAGAAACAAAGTCCAGTCCAGAGACAGCATTTATGATTTATCACCTCCTGAGGCCAGCTACAATAAACAAGACTTCCAATCTCGTGTATTAGTTTCAGCACGAAAGAAAGACGCAACTGTGGATCATAATAAAATGCTCATAATACTATCGGCAGACTATCTCACATCTCCCCAGAGGAATTCAAAACCGAAAACGCGGGATTTGATGTCTTAGCATTACAAGGTGAGTGAAGATGTATGGTCCAGAACAATAATCACAGCATGTTCTATAGACACATGGGAAATATTAGGGAATAAAACCAGTCAAAGAACGAACACGGAGTCGTCTTGGTGTCGAAGTCATAAAGAGATCGATCGGTGCGCCGCAGAAACACAATTCTGTCGAGGCATGGATCCATCCTTTCGAGTACGGCGAGATCTAGCGTCTTCGCTGCGCGTCAATTTCTTCGCCTCAGACATTTCCGTTTGACGGAGACAACCATGAACCCTGGCTCAGACTTCACTTCGGCTGCTTCATACTAAAATCAATCTCCTTTTTTCTCTCTGCTTTCATATCACAGAACAAAAGATAATTAAAAATTCCTTTCTCTTCTTATTAAATCAAACAGTGTTCAAACTTTAAATTCTTAAATTTCCTTGAAGTTCTTCTTTCTCGTAAAGAGAGAAGATTTTGATTTTTTTTGGGGTAAAAATACACCAAAAAAAAATACCACAACAAATTTAAGAAAGGGAAAAAATTCTAAAATAAGAAGACTTGGGAAATTACAGAGCTTCGGATGATCCATAGCAAGCTTCTGCTGCTGCTCAAATGTGATGTGATTTGAGATATATATATATATATATATATATATATCTTACACATACACTCACCCACAAAGGATGAGTTTGTGATCCATGTCCACCTCTAGCTTCAGAGCAGATTATAAGGCTTACTTACCTAAATGGGCTTGGACCTATTTTAATCCATGGACTCATTACAAAACCCAACATATATATTAATAATATAGGTGTTTTTTTGTCATCAAGAATATTAGTATTTATTAATATTATAAATAAAATTAAAACCTCATGTTTAATCTTGATATTTCGTACCACTCCCTTTCTTCCTTATGACCAAATTGAAGTTGGTAGGGCGCAATACAACATATGTTTGACCTATAAAGTTTTATTCACAACTTGCGTCACTAACATCTTTAATACCTTGCACAATAAAAAAAATATATATTAAATTAGGGGGGTTCGAATGATAAATTATGGGGGGAACCATCATAAATTTATTAAGCACGTGACGTTGTGGAAATTCCTCAACCCAGGGTTGAGTGGTTACCAGTTCGTCAACCACCCTTGGCATAAATTAGAGTAATATTCTCCATTTTGTGTTGAACTTCTTTGCCTTTTTCTCCCTTTAATTATTATAACCACAGTCAGACAACACCTTTACGACTGATATGAAGCTGTTTGGGCAGTACTTTTAGCACGTCACCCATCTAACTCCCTCACGAGTCACGAGACGAAGAAAAAATCGATTAAAGAAAACCTTGTACAATTACATGAATTCAGAATGAATTCCATTGCCAAATCAGTGCAAGTAATCAGTGTTAACAGAAGGAAGCTTGCAGAACTTAAACGAGACCAGGCTGGGAATGCACCCGGGGGGGGGGGGTTTCACGAGAAGAATTAATTAAGCCAGCAATCCAAGCCCCAGGACGAGCTTATTATGGGTGCAGTCTAGTGCTTCCTTGGGAAGGTAAAAGCGGACATGATGATCAAGAATTCCAAAAGAAGCACAGCAACTAAGGATGAAACCACTGCTCCACTTGTTGCCTGACAGAAATCAGTAAACTGACCGTAGACGGCAAGCCAATTCGTTGCCTAATTCCCATTGGGGGCCAAGTAAACTATCGCCGCCGCCGCCGAACCCCTTGAGAGCGCCAGAGTTAGAAGCACTTGCAGTTCATTTAAAATGAACACAACATATATATTAATAACTCTATCAACTTTATACAGGGATACGAAGAACTAGACAAGTGGTAAAGTTATGATAAATTAATGGCTTGTGATTTTAAACAGCTTCATTACGTACGGTGTCTAGGATAATGAGGAGAAGCCTTGCTCCGACTGCTTGAGGGCGCACTATGGTTACTACGGAGAAATGAAGAGAGAGGACCAGGTATCCGGCCACAAAACTCACTGAAACTAGTTATATTGCTCATCACTTTAATAAGCATTTTAAACTCATCAAATTTAGACCATCTAAATTTCACTTAGATGGTTCAGATTTAATTAATTTTTTTTATTTTTATTTGTTTAAGATAATTATTTTAAGAGGTATAGAATATAAAATAAAGATAATATCTCAACTATCATCTTTTCGAAAAGTATTTTTTATTAAAAATAATTAATTAAAAATTTAAATTCTGAATGAGATCTCAATAGTTAAAATCTAATGAGTTTAGGATGCTCATCAATATGATAAGCACTGCAACTAGCTCCAAGGTTGATGATCACATGCCAGAAAGTGGTGAAATCGTCTTGGCTGGCTTCAAAGCGAACGAACTGTGTGAAGAAGGGTAGAGTTTCAAAAAGTAATTTTTTTATTAATTATTTTTGCTATTTAAGTTTTATTTCTTATTTATATTTTTGATCTATTCGATTTATTTACTTATGTTATTAAAGTTCCTGTTATATTTTAATAATACTGCTTATTTTCATTTATTTCTTGTTTAATACACCTTGTCTTTTATTTAATATCTATACTACACATAGATTTTCAAGTTATTTTAAATAATACTCCTCGATCCTTAATATAAGACCTATATAACTAATTTGATTAGATTAAAAAAGTTAGATAAGTTAGTTAATTATAAGAAATATGACATGATTTTTCTAAAATACTATAATCATCTTTCTTAATATCCTTTCTTTTTCTTTTACTTGATTATGACCGAGGGAGTACCTATAAAGATAATTTAGGAAAAACTGATAAATATGAGAAATAAAGCTTGTATTTAGAACCAAAATCAATTCAACAATTAGGTCCTATATTAAAGACTGGAGGAATAATAATTGAAAAATAAAAATTATATTTAAATTTTCATGTCATATATTAAATTATATTTAATAGTATTTATTATTAAATATAATAATTATGGAAATATAAATAATTTTATGAAATTCATACCTGTCTGTAATTATACACCCATTAATGATTTTAATAAATAAAAATTAAATATAATAATAATAATAATTCTCAAAGTCACTTATAAAAATATATCCAAATGGAAATCACTTCTATCAAATTTCATTTATAAAATTTATGATTATCTAAAATTATAGTTGCTCATTTGATAAAGTTATAAATGATTTTTTAATCATAATTTGTGAAATACTCTTTTTGGCTCAAAATATAAACTAAACTTTCTTAAAGGGTTTTTTTTTTTATAAGATAACATTCACTTTTGTTCAAGCATTTAATAAGTTTTTTTAATTTTACCCCCATATATTCTCTTCTCTTTTTAATTCATTTATTATATCTTTTACTTATTCTTTTCATTAATAAGGGTATATTAGGAAAAATAAATATATGCTTTATACATTTATTGTTTTAAATTGATTTTAGTTAGTTTCATAATAAAGGTAATGGATAATATTTAGCTTATATTTTGAACTGGAGGAAGTACAAAATAAGTACGTAAGTGAAGTTTTCAAACGTGCTAAGTTGGTTGAAGATTCATTTCCTTCCCAAAATCTCCCCCACAATTTGACTTGTTGAAAAATAAATATTGATCCCATCCCTTTTTATACAAATAACGATCATCTCTATCCACTGTTTATAAGAAATATTTGAAAGATATCTCAAAATTTTTTTATCACTTTCTTATTTTGTCCTATTAATTACTTATTTTAACACTTATTATATTTATTATGTTATTCTCAAAATGTCTTTTTCTTTAGTTCAATAATCCTCATATCTTCTTCCACATACTCTCTCACCCCATAAATAAGGATATTTTTAAAAAACAGCTTATACTTTTTATATATTTATTATTTTTAACTAATTTTAACTAAGATTCCGTAAATTGGTTAAATGTTTTTAATGTAAAAGCAGAGGAAGGGAGCAAGTAATTATCAAAATGCTAAAGTTGCCACCTGTCACCACGTGCATGGGAGAGTCTTCGGGAGTTAGTTATTTGTTTGACTCGTTCGAATACCCGTTGCCCCCCACCGTGAGAGATTTTTAAGTGCATATCACCCAAAAACATAATCCCCCGAAATCGAAGCCGCAAGACGTGCTTCAGCCTATTGAGATCTTTCCGCACTTTATTACTAGTATCTGGTAATTCATTTATTGTTAATGTTAATTATTATTTTATATAAAAACCAGCTAATGAACAAGAAACACAACAGTCCTGGAATCGACTGTCATATGCATGGCTGGTGCAGGGACGATTCCCAATCCCGAAAGCGCGGCAGAAACCGCCATCGACGGAGGTGCCGCTGCCTCCATCTTAACCTTACATCCGGACATAATTCAAACTCACGTCCTGACTCGCCTGGACGGCTCCGCTCTTGCAGCGGCTGCCACCACATGCTCCCAACCCTGCGCCCTCGCCTCCGAAGAAGATCTCTGGGCCAACCTCTGTCACTCTATGTGGCCTGCCACCAGATCTCCACGCATCCGCCACGTCATCCGTAGCTTCCCCCACGGCTTCCGCTCTTTCTTCTCTGATTGTTCTACTATTCCCCGCCCACTCACCACCATTCCTAGAAACTCGCACATAAATCTCGACCGCACGCCACAACTGATCTCCGCCGTTGACCTTTATCACCGCCGACAACTCTTAGGGCTTGTTTGGAGCTCCGTTCAAAACGGGCTTTTAAGCAAGTTCACGTAAGCCGAGACAAAACTCTCCTCATATACTTACCTCGTATTCCGTAAATCACGTTTGAAAAGCTACTTATAAGTCAATCCAAACAAGCCCTTACTTTCGAGAGTGGTGGAGACCGAAACAGTCTCCGATTCGTTCAGGCGCTCGCCCTTCCGGGTGGACATACTTGAACCAAAAGACGTGGTTCAGACACAGATAAGATATCCGGAGGATGACGAAGCCTCTCGACAACTGGAGCGGGAGCTGAGGATGAGCTGGATAGTGATAGACGCTAATGGAGGGCGAGCCATGAACGTTTTGAGCCCAATGGCAATATGGGCATATTCGGCGAGGCGGTCCGTAACGTTCATGTTCATATCGGATATGATGAGCGAAAAAAGACCGTGGACAAGGGCCATATCCTGCAGAGTGTGGGTGACGGGCGTGGAGGGGGAGGGTGGGGAAATGCAGGTGAGCGGGGTGAGTTTGGAGGTGGAGGACATCGGAGGGATGGTCAAATTTAATGGGGGGGAGGGTTTGGTAATTTTACAGACAGTGTTGGAGGGTAAAAGAGAGAGTAAGAAACAAGCGAGGGAGAGACGCATGAGGGAAAATCGAGAGAACGTGAGTGGGGGTGGAGGAACGTTAGATATGGTGCGCGTGAGCCTCGCTATGCTGTGTTGTGCGGGACTTTTATATGTGTTTGGTGCGGGCAGGGCGAGATGCTGAAAATTGAGCTTCTCAGTAAACCAATCCATATGCGTCTGAGTATCACACCAATTAACTCAACGTTGAAAGTTGAAACTGGCACTAATTAAAGTAATTTAATAAAAATATTAATTTATTCGTTTATGAATATTTTAAATTTCCTAGTTATTAGCATTCGGCAAAAAAAGTTATTAGTAATGATCATATTTTTATATGTTTTCATTCTCTCTTCGATTATATTCTGGTTAAATTTTGAATATTTCCGATTAAATTTTTCTTTTAATATTTGTGATTAAATGTTTGGTCCGATTTTGAAAATAAGTTAAGAATGGGTGATTTCTAGTTCAAACAAAACGCAATTGAACTTGGCTTTTATTTTCTACCAAAATTTACGAAAAGTTTGGGGCCATTTCCTAAAGAAAAATACCTCGAGTTAGTAAAAAAAAAACCATAATTCTTTAGAGTACTTACTAGGTCCACGCCATGCATCAAAATTTGACTACTTGTGGCTAACGTTTTAAATGAGTTACTAGTATTGAGAAGGAGTAAAAGAAAAGGTTGATTTTAAATTTAGGTGAGCAAGAAAATGAAAAAAGAGCAATTGCAATTTTATTCACAACTTGCGCAGCTAACATCTTTAATACCTTACACAATGAAAATAAATATATTAAATTAGAGGTGGATCGACTGATAAATTATGGGGTAACTATCACAAACCTATTAAGCACGTGACATATTCCTTAACCCAGGGTTGAGTCGACGTTAAATTAGAGTAATATTCTCCATTTTGTTTTTAATTTCTTTGCCTTTTTCTCCCTTTAATTATTATAAGTAGACTGTGGACCCACAGTCAAACAACACCTTTATGACTGATATGAAGCTGTTCGGGTAATACTTTTAGCGCGTCACCCATGTAACTCCCTCGCGATCGAGGGCCGAGAAGGAAACAAAATCGATTAAAGAAAACCTTGCATAATTATGTGAATTCAGAATGAATTCCATTGCCAAATCAATACAAGTAATCGTGCTAACAGAAGGAAGCTTGCAGGACTTAAACGAGATCAGACTTGGGATGCACAATTGAGCGGGGGAAAAAAAGGAAAAAAGAAAACTTCCAAGAAGAATTAATTAAGGCACCGATGAGTTAAGCTAAGCCCCAGGACAGGACGAGCTTATAATGGGGCAATCTAGTGCTTCTTTGAGAAGGTAAAAGCGGACATGATGATCAAGAAGTCCAAAAGAAGCACAGCAACGAAGGATGAAACCACTGCTCCACTTGTTGCCTGACAGAAATCAGTAAACTGACCACAGACGGCAAGCCAATTCGTTTCCGGATTCCCATTGTGAGCCAAGTAAACTATCGCCGCCGCCGCCGCACCACTTGAAACCGCCAGAGTTAGAAACACCTACAGTGAATTTAACATGAACACAACATGTATACTAAATCTATCAACTTAATATAATAATGCAAAGAACTAGACAAGTGGTAAAGTTATGCTAAACTAGTGATATATTATGATTTTGAAGAGCTTCATTACGATGTCTAGGATTATGAGGAGAAGCCTTGCTCCGACTGCTTGAGGGCGCACTATGGTTACTACGGAGAAAGGAAGAGAGAGGACCAGGTATCCGGCCACAGAAGCCATTGCAATAACAAAAAACCTGCATTTTCGCAACAACCAGTTAAGTCTCTGGAAACATCTCAGGATGATTAGAGGATTTAAAGAGGCTGATGATCACATACCGGAAAGTGGTGAAATCGTCGTAGCTGGCTTCAAAGCGAAAGAACTGTGTGAAGAAAGGTAGAGTTTGATCGCTGGCCCCCATGGCGGCGGCGGCTCCGAGGGCAGCTGCGACGGCACCAAGTCTGAGGATGAAGTCCATTATAGCCATCCCTCTTCTCCATCCTGCTTGCCTTGGTGCTGGAAGCAGAGGTGCTTTCTCTCTGGTGTCAGCATTGCTTGACTCTGGCACGTCAATTTTGGTCGACATTTTTGGCTTTGAAAGATAATATTCACGTGAGGACTGCGAATTAATGGGTGAGAGAGCCAAAGGTTGCGATGCAAGTGGCTTGATTCTTGGGTAAAGCTTATATAGGGGAAACGGCTGTGTACAAATGACAAGTCTATGGTCAAAGGGCCAAAGAGGAGTTGTTACACGAAACCAATTCATACTTTCGTGTATATGGCAAGGCAAGTAGAAAAGTGTACTTACTCATCTTTCTTTTCCTGGGTTTCTATACTTAAAATCGAAAAGGATACGTTAGCCATGCAAAATATTGAATTTTGGAAAGATTGGGTCAAATTTGCATGGATTTAAGCCGTGATGATTAGTTGCATTGCAAGACTAATGGTGTTTGTTATTGTTTCTTTATAGTACCATAAATGTTGACTTTTTATTTTAATAATGAAAAAGGGACGAAACACGACTTGAGTTCGAAGCCAACAACGGACTATTCATCCGTCAACCAATCCACAAAGCTTTCCCTAATCCAATTATGCATGAAACGTAGACTTTATCATGCCAGTCCAAGTTTCTGAGGTAAGTTGCATCGTTGATATCATCCTTTTGAATTTTATGGTCATAGCTTGTAATGTTCTGGTAACACCATGCCATTAACTTGCTAAATTGTTCAAAAGCTAATTCCTCGTAATGCAAAGTGAGTAATGTCAGCAAGAAACTCCTATAAATTAATGAAATTTCGGACTAAAAAAGCATACCCGCCTTTATAAATGAAGTTCATACTATTTTACCGAAAATTTCGTAATAAAAATTCATTTTGGAAAGTCTCTTCGAGGAAATGCAGCAAGAGAATTACACTCATTTTCTTCACACTTTTCCAGTTCATCCGCCGTGCTAGGATGCAGTGTTGGATATGTAGTACTAGCGGAAAAAGTTAGGCACAGGAAGCAACAGAGAGAGAAAAGAAGAGACAAAGGAAGGTGAGGTGAGGTCTAAGCAAAAGGAATTAAAGAAGTGACGTTTCCTCCTTAATCTGACGTTTTTTTGGGGGGGGGGGGGGGGAACATACGTACTCATGTTCCTACTTCCTACTAATATTAACCCTGTACTGTTCTAGTAGGAAAAACACACTTTACTGATGATTTCATGATAATAAGAAATAAATGTGCGTTGTGTGTAACTATTTAAAACAGATAGCGTCACAAAATTGGAAATAGCCTTGGAGATGGTCCAATTTGCTTTCCCTGGATCACCAAAACGGAGTTATCCAGAATGACACCGCAGGTTCATAAGCCAACAATATTTCAAGAGACTAACACGACAAAAATGAATAAATTGTGAGAAATAGGAAGGACACTTTTGTAATTTAGCTTGATTAGTTTCGGCCCATTTGCTTTAAGTTTTTGATTGTATTTCAGCTATGTGTTTCTGGGCCTTCTTGATTTTCTTTGAGATATTCGTTGGGTTGGTTGGGCTCTATAAAAGGAGTCCTGTGGAGTTTATTCTATGTTAAGATGTAAATACCCGGTTGTGAGATTAATGGAAATGGCCTGTTTCTATGCGATGTGTTTGAGGGTTTCTGGTGAGGCTTAATCTTTCTACATGGTATCTAGAGCTGAAGGCTTTCCTTCATTACAATTCTAAGCCCAAGCCTGAACCCACTCCGTCGTCTTTGCAGTAGAGAAACCCTAATGGCAAAAACGAAGTCTGCCATTCTCTCATCCACTCTTCTTCCACCCATCCAATAAGTAGGGGGCTTCGATCGTTCAGCACGTCCTGATAGGCACAGAGAATTAAACTACATTGTGTGGAGGAGGACAATGAGGATCACGTTGATGGGAAAGAATAAGCTAGGGTTCATCAATGGAACCTGCAAGAAGAGTGATCAGGACTTATCGTTGCACGAGCAACAGGAGGGCTACAACACAGTTGTCCTTTCATGGATTTTGAGCTTAATTTCAAAGGAGCTAGCAAATGGAGTCATCTTCTTTCAGAATGCGCATCAAGTATGGATTGATCTCAAGGAATGGTTTGATAAAAAGAACAGTGCCCGAATTTTTACTCAGCACCGCGAGATCACATCTTTCAGACAAGGTTCCTTATCAGTTTCTGTCTATTATTAAAGATTAAAGGAACTTTGGGAGGAGTAGTCGGCCCTGATCAGCTTGCCTTCATGCACTTGTGCAACCTTGACAACCTATGCAGAAGTTATCCAGGAGCAAAAACTGCTCCAATTCTTGCTTGGCTTAAACGATGCCTACAATCACGCCTGGAGTCAATTACTTCTTATGAATCCGTTACCATTTGTTAGTGAAGCCTACTCTATGATTACTCAAGACGAGACTTATAATACATCACCTAATTATATCAATATACGCAACAAAATATTTAATTTAAAAGTCCATGCATTTTTCTAATACTTCAAACAAGTCATAATTTCAAAACATTTCTACATAACTTAACAAAATAAACTATTGAAGTCTTACAGTCATGACAAATAAAAATATAATATAGCATGTGTTTGATGAGTACAGAGGCTTTTACGGCTCACTCCATTGATGCCTTCCCTTGATTCCTACTAGATCTTTGCCTGAAAATTGTTAATATAGGGGGTGAGATCAAACGTCTCAGTAGCTACTGAAATTCTAACCTATACAAGCGAATCATATATGATAAATCAAAAATCTGTTTATATGTGTGCATATATAAACATATTAAAGATCACAGATTTGATACATTCAATTCAATTTCTTTTTTTTCCCAATATATCCAAAAATAATGCAATATGCTGCCTTCCTTATGTCATCGTTTATCCTTATACTGCTGACTAGAGCCATAGGCTAACACATAGTTCGATAGGAACTAATCCATTTTACTGAATTATTCCAAGCTCACCGATGCTAGAGATATATCCGGCCAAATATATAGAGTTCAAGCTCGGACTATGGCTCCCCTCCTTTGCGAATAGGGAGGTGTCACATGTTCCACAGCTTTAATGAATTCCCAGACAAAGGAAAACATGGAAGAAGAGGCCCTGACAAGTGCCATCTACTGTGCACCAAGTGATGACATAACATGTGGTAATTTTATATCTATGCAATCTCCTTCTATCCTTAGCCCGACAATGCATGTCAGATGCCAATAATGTTACATCATAAATACGTCCTCAAATATATTAAAAATAAGATAGCAATAAAACTTATATACCATTTAATAGCAACTCATGACAATTCCATAGCCATCAATATATTTAAATATTGATCATAATTAATAGTAATAAATCTTAACAAAATCAAATAACATATCAAAACATTTATTTGAAATCATAATACTATTTTTCAGTATGATATAAAAATTAATAAATCCACAATATAATCATACACAATTCACATGTACAAGAAAGAATTTTAGAGTTACCTGGTACTCTTTAGCTTACAAATATTCACACAAAGATTACTCCAAAATTCTTAAGAGTCTACAAAATTGCACATAAATATTTGTTAATATAAAACTTAAAACTATTTCAAAACTACTCTAAAATTCTAAGACTACCCTCTAAACCAAAATTACATAAATATATTAACTCTCCCAAATCTAACCATTTATAATAGATATAATATTATTTTGAAAAATATAATTTACATATAAGGCTATTTAAATTTAACAACTTAAGTAAATATATTTTTATTACCCAAAATCTAAATATTTTATATTAAAATTCTCAATTATTTATTATAGTCTCCTTTAAAAAAATTTCTCAAACCAAACAACTTTGAATTATAAACAAACTATAACTTTATCTAATTTCACAAAATTCTCAATTTACAATTTTTCAAGCCTTCAAAAATTATTTTAAAAATATATCTTTACTTTTGCAAGATTTAAACCGATTAAAACCTCAATAATATATTAAATAACTCAAATAAATTATTTAACTTAAATTTAATCGGTAAAAACATACTATATGTCTAAATAAAAAGTTTTTCAACCAAAATCTCAATTTAAAATTCTCAAAACAGTTATTGAACAAATATAAATTGATTAAAATTTCTTAATAATGTATCTTTAAATTTCTACGGTCATACATTGTCAAAACTCTATATTTACTTCATATTTAAACGGTAAAATTTTCTCTAAACATGATAGTGAAACTAATAATATAAAGCTTTAAATATATAAAAAATATTCATAAAGAAAATATGATAAAAAGAAGTATATTTGTGTACCTAAATGATCATCAAATCTTTCCTTATCTTCTAGATAGCTCTCTTGATTTTCCTTTCTTCCTCTTGCTCTCTCTTTCTCTTCTCTCGCTCTCTCTCTCTACTCCTCACACACAATGAAGGGAAGACAAATGTTGCATGTATTTTGTGACAACCGTTCTCTCAAAACCATTTTAGATTAAATCTAACAATTTATTTGAATGATTAACCATGATAGAAAAGAAGAAACTTTCAAATTTTAAAATCGCTATCATGGTTAAAAGAAATAAACTTATATTACGAGCAACATCGATCGTTAACTTGGGCCTTGGATTTCCAAAGTCCAGAAATATCATTCAACCATTAGCCCAAACCAAACTTATACTTTTAAATATACAAACTGACAAATCGTTTTAATATAAGTTATGGAGCCCATTAGTTAAAAGTCAGCACTATCAAAAGAGCATAATATGCAAAGTCTTAAATATCTCTAGCCTTCCAGCAACCCCCATATCAGATAGTAGTAATTAAAAGTATTAGTTTACAACATTAGAATAAATGAGCCTTATGTGGCAATATATAACAAATCAGCACATATAACAAAAGTCAGGAGGCTATACAAGCTATAATAGTACACTATGCCTCCGGAGCCTTCCTTGATGGGTCACCACCTGAACTATCACCTGAAGATAGTAAAAACCATAGGGTGAGACAAACGCCTCAGTAATCAACTTTCCAACTCATCGTACATACTAACACGTGCTCGTGAGGTGTTAAGTGAGACAATTATTAATTCTCGAAAACATAGATATATAATTTTAATAATCC